CCATCCATCCTGGTTGTAGGTCCTTGGAACTGACAGAGGGGTAATCTTGTTACCTTGGGTTTTCAATTTGGGCTTTTCAGGACATTCTTCCTGTCTGCCCAAGCCAGAAATTTGGTAGTTTCTTTGCCCCTTCTCATTCACTTCTCATGTGTCTTTAGTTGCTTAATGCTATTTTGATCCTATTTGATCCTCTCTCTGATCTTTTACATGTCCATCCCTTTATCTCCACTTTGTAATTTCAGGCTTTAGCTCCCTTTTGACTGGGCTCAGTCGCCTCCTCATTAACGTCCCTGCCATCACACTTTGACCTCTCCATCCAAGCTTTTGAGAGCTGACATCCTCACATACTCCCTTTCTCAAAAAAACAAGATTCTTTGAAACCTACAAAATTCCTTGGCATAATACTGGGGGCAGGGGGAGGGTTCCCTCATTTATAATTATATCCTTCATTCAGCCATGCTTGAACCATACCAAACACCACTGAACTCAGATTTCCTGCCCTTGTACTTTGCTCTTGCTGTTGCCTCTATCTGGATTGCACTATCCCTTCTTTTTTGTTGTTGTTTTTTGAAACAGAGTCTTGCTCTGTCACCTAGGCTAGAGTGCCATGGCATCAGCCTAGCTCACAGCAACCTCAAACTTCTGGGCTCAAGCAGTCCTCCTGCCTCAGCCTCCCAAGTAGCTGGTACTACAGGCATGCCAACACGCCCGCCTAATTTTTTCTATTTTTAGTAGAGATGGGTCTCACTCTTGCTCAAGCTGGTCTGGAATTCCTGACCTCAAGTGATCTTCCTGCCTCGGCCTCCCGAAGTGCCAGGATTACAGCAGTGTCCTTTCTTAACCTGTGGAACACATGCTCATCCTTTGAGACTCAGACTAAACACAACCACCTCTGTAAAGCCATCCCCATTTGTCACTTTTCTTAATGTCTTGGCTGTAGCACTTACTGGATTTAGCCTTGAATGAAGTTTATTTATATGTACATCCCTTCTGCCCTCCCAAGACCAAATGCTTCTGTAAGCTAGAGAATGTTTTGTTCCTGTCTAGTTTCTGTAGTCACCAACAAACAGTAGGTACTTAGTGTTTTCTTGAGTGAACACAAGTTCACTCTCCATTTCCCCAGTTTCATCATTTCAGCTCCATGAAGTTTTTAAGTAAATCTTTTATGGAGAAGTGTCAGTGAATTACCATTGCTCCATTTCGCATTGAATAAGTTACATGCCAAGGAGTTCCTTCCTCTGTACATAAATCTACAGTGATTCTCTAGAATAGTGCTATCTAATGATACTTTCTATGATGATCCTGTTTTATATCTGCACCAACCAGTATGGCAGCCACTAGCTGTTGAGTATTTTAAATGTGGTTAATACAACTGAGGAACTGAATTTTAAACATCTAATTTTAATTAAATGTAAGTTTAGATAACTGCATGTGGGTACTAGCCACCATAGTGGACAGTGCAACCCTGGAGGGTGTTCTGTGGCCTTGAGATGGCTCCTAGTCTGAGGATTTCCTGGTTGGTGAAGGGGGTGGGTACATGTGTTAATTTTGCCTTCTTTCAAGACTCAACTCCAGAGTGACTGTGGGAATCCATAGTATAGTCAACCCTTTAGCTATAGAACTATAGGTGGCTGGCATTGCTGCCTGTGGGAAAGAACCAATAGCAGCACCTGTAGAATGGTTTGTCAAGAGGAAATGAACTGGTTTTTAATATCATTGTAGGTTGGAGATCTCATCTATGGCCAATTTGTGGTTGCTAATAAGGATATGGAACCAGAGATGGTCTGTATTGACAGCTGTGGACGAGCCAATGGAATGGGTGTGATTGGACATGATGGTCTGCTTTTTAAAGTGACGTTGGGCCTGATTAGAAAGTAAGTCCTTATGCCTGCTGGTTTGCCTACCAGCTTTTATAATTATACCTTCTTGGAAAGCTGATTAATCTTTGATATTTGGATTCTTTGTAACAGCATCTGAATTTCTTCTCAAAGTTAAAAAGCAAGGTCCATTTTGACACGTTTGTAAACTCGTGAATTAGTTTTATGTTAATGTAAATATATCAAATTCAAATGTATTTGGCTGTGTAGTTTTTGGTGTTGGTGTTCCTGGTGGGCTAATACTTTGTGCTTCAAGCTTTTACTCTGTCCTGTTCTTGTCTTCTCTCTCAGGCATGTTCCTTAGCTGACATACTGAGCCCAAATTTGGCCTTAATGTGGCCAAATACAGCCACGTTGATGTGATCCTCTAGCTTATATAGACATTCACAGAAGGCTCCTGCCACTCTGTCTTGGTAAATTTAATAGTTCCCACTGAGGTAGATTCTCTGTTAGGTGTTTAGAACTTTACCTCCCCAAAGCTATGCCATATTGAAGGGCTTTACCGTGAGAGCCACTTAAGTTCAGAGCTATCTGGTATGCCTCTCCTTGCTACCTATTCTGCAGATTTTAAGAATTAGTTTGGGACATTAGAGAACTGTGTTATTAACCAAGTAGCACCCTTGTGGTTTGAAAGAGCCAATGCTCCTCTCCAAGTACCAAATTTAATACAAAGAAATAACTTACACGGTCAGGAATATAAGTTTAAAGTATTCTTTTAATACTGTAGATAACAAAAAAGCTATTGTTCTACATCTGGGATTAAGGTTCTCTGACCATCTAGGAGAAGAACTTTGTACATTTTTTGCAAAGTTGGTAACAAAGGGAATTTGATTTCTTTGTAGGAACTAGGCCACCATTGTGACCTCTAGTATACCTTTGAAAAGTGTAAAGCTTCTTAGAAGAAAGGGAGCAGCTGATGTGATCATGTTCCTTGTTCTTGGAATGATGTTTGTGGGGCTTTGAATAACTGGAGAACTACCCAGAAAAGGAATCTCCTTCTAAAGGAGAGAGTCAGGGTACACCTTTACCACTTTATTAAATTTCATTTTCTTTCTTCTTTCCCACCAGGCTATTAGCTCCAGACTGTGAAATCATACAGGAAGTGGGAAAACTCTATCCACTGGAGATAGTGTTTGGAATGAATGGAAGAATATGGGTTAAGGCAAAAACCATTCAACAGACTTTAATTTTGGCAAACATTTTGGAAGCTTGTGAACACATGACAACAGATCAAAGAAAACAAATCTTCTCCAGATTGGCAGAAAGTTGATATATGTGGACTTTTTTAATGGGTCAGCTGAGCCAAGAAACTATGGGTTTCCTGGGGAAAACTTTTTTCAGGTGAGCCTCTCCCTTTTAAATCTTCAGAAGACAAAATATGAATGTGCATGCTGTCTTTAATTAGAGTCCTAAATAAAATATTTTTGTAAGTTACTGGTTTTCACACATGCTCTTACGGGAGAGAAAATCATTACAAAGTCACGATGTATTTTTTTGTTCTGTACAATAAACTTTACTAAAAAGTTAGTGTTATAGTTTATTTGGGTAGTATTAGCTTCCTTAGTTTTGCTAGAGTGCAACTTCTATAATGAACTGAAAGTCAGCATTAAAATAACTATTTTCTGATTATAATAGTAAAATATGTTCACCAAAGTTAATGTAGAATACACAAAAAAGTATAAAGCAGCAAATAAAAGCCACCTGTAATCCCATTATTCAGTGGGTGGTAACAACTAATAATTATTGTGTGTTTACTATGTGCCAAGTATCATTCTGAATGTTTTGCATGGAATAAATCATTCATTCCTAGTAAATGCAAATGTAAAAGACACTTATCCTCATAGTTGAAGAAACTGAGGCACAGAACTTAACTTGGCCCATATTCTCAACTACTATATGTCTGTGTATATATGCTTCAAATTAGAATTATAGGATATCTTCTGTGCTCCTTTGTATTATACTTTGTCCATTTGAAACAGCCTATGATACGTTCCTTTCACAATTGCTATTAAAAATTCAGTAGTTGCATATTTCAATCATGTTATAGGATATATTGGATATATTCCTATTTTATTGTTACATAAATAACACTATGATGGGGATTTCTGAATCTAAATCTGGCCAAATCTTATTTTGCTAAAATCATTTCCTAGAAGCTAAACAAAACACTCCCTGCTCAGGTTTTGGATAAATGGGAGAGCTTTGTGATGGAGTTGGAAAAGAAATTTTTCCATGGTATTTAGTATATTAAAGCAAGCCTTTAGAGGTAAGAATGAAGACTGGTAGATGATCCAGGTCAGTGGTTCTGGGCTCATAGACGTCTTTGAGGCTATGAGAGACGGATCCCCTGAAGCCTGTCCATAGAAAGTCCCTTTGGATGAAAGAGAGTATAGAACTCATTCAATACTTTGATAAGGCCCAAGGAGCATTATGTGTTCTATGAAGTCCACATGGGCTAAAAAGACCTCAAAAAACAAAAAACTAATACAATCTATCAGGTAATCAGAATTCCCCGGGGATTAAATTATGAAGGGGAGGGGACAGAACAGAGATGTAACTTTTTGGTTCTTTTGAGATACAGAATGTATTTTCTGAATTTGCCAGCAGCTGAACTAGCAAGTTAGTTAACCCAAACTGGCAAGAGTAACTGAAGCAAGTATAGCTACTAGGACACAAGAAAAGGAATGAGATTTGTATAATAAGAGGTAGGTCATCTAACATGCTCATGTGTCAGAATGTAACATTTTAGGGCTATTTTCAAATTAGACTTAGCAATACTGTATTTTTGCTTTACAATTTGATCTGTTAATTATAAATATATATGAAGAATCTAGTTTGTACGAGGCTCAGAGGATACAAAGATATTCACATAAATTGTCCTGTTAGTATCCTGCCATTAGCGAAAAGCCCTCCATGCCCATACTCAGAGTAAGGGAGAAGAGGGTAAGAGTCACAGGAGGGAACAAAGTGCTATGGGGACTCAAAGAAGGGATAGGTCAGGTCAGGTTGATCTGCAGAGCTTATGTATAGCATATAACTGAGTTGGGAAAAAATTAGCATGATCAGAGAAGGCTGGAGAAAGTCATACAATTTAATGATGCCTGTTCAGTGAAAATTAAACTTGATATAACAATAATTATTTAATTAAACAATCTCCAAAGAGTAGGTCTTTCACGAAGACATAGATGTACAAAAGGTGAATTAACACTAACAAAGCCATGTGGTTTTGGGGCTAATTCCTTGTTACGTAAACTTTTTTTACTTAACATATATCTGGGCACTTCCCGTGAGCCAGGCACTATGGGAGATACAAAAGAGCATAAAATATGGTCCCTGTCATTAGTAGCTTATTGAAGATTCAAGATGTCAAGTAAAGGCAAGTGTGTGCCACTGCTGCCACCTTGCCCTGCTCTTTGGACAAGGCACCCTGAGCACTTCACTCCTGCGACTGCCATCTTAGGCTGCCCGTCATTCCACTGAATTCCGAAGAACATAGCCTTTTCCTGAAGAAACTCCTTTCTTCAATGCTTCAGGCCAGTTGTGAGTGTCAAAGTAAGTGGACAGGATATCAAACACTGTTAGAGAGTGAACAGAAAACACAGTGACGATGCAGGAAAAAAAAGAACTACTAAATGACTAAGGAGGAAAAAGATGTTCTAGGTTTCATTCAATAAACCTATGCTGCACACCTGGTACTAGATCCTGGAGGAAAGAGGCAAAGACACAGGCCTGGCCTGCTCTCAAGGACCTCAACATTCACTGAGACATACAGGCCTCTGAATGGACAATGTTCAACAGAGGAACACAGTAAAATAGGAACACAAATAAGAGGCCCTGACGGGGCCTGGGTGGCGGAGGGAAGCCAGCCAAGATGTCCCCAAACTGAACCCTGAAGAACAAATAGGAATTCATTGGTTAATGAGGGGTTGAAGGCAGGGCATTCTAGGTCAAGGGGACAATTTCAACTATCTTTAACATAGTCGGGGACCAGGAATAAAATGAAGAATGCCTCTCAGTGGCCAGAATACATGTCACAAAGTGCACATAATAAAGTCCAAGCACATTTGTCACACAGGAGGCTGATTCAAAGGTCACTTGTACTTCAACACAATGCAAAACACAATGCCCTAGCACACTGGATGGTGGCCATGCGAGCAGTACCTTGATTGATGGCCAGTATCTTTGAATGATAGTTTTTCCCATTTTGGCGTCTGACCATGTATTCCTGGATTGGCAAGCGGGCTGTCTTGACGGAGTATTCCTGGGCCTTTTGAAATGTCACCTTCTGTAAATCACAGTTAAATACTTTTCTTATTATAAAAATTACTAATATATTCTCACTGTAATATGCATAGCAAATTGTAAGAATCCTTATTTCCCACTGCTTCAGTTTCATCTATAATCATAATTAAAGGATAAACACATTAAAAATAAGAAGCCTATGGTAGAACAAAACAAGTTACAGATAATGAAGAATAATTGTCCCAAGTAAGAAAGGGCTTGTGTGACAACATCTCACTTTTTGAAGGGTAAGTTCCGCAAGCCTCCACTGACTACCACTGACAACCAAGAGGGAAATACACAAAAGAGGCACATCTGCAGCCACAATCAGCATCCAAAGGCACAAGTGGCCTAAGCCTAACCAATCAGAATGCTCCTGGCCCTAACTCAATAAGACCCAATTCTGGATGTCTGGAACTTCCAGCTCATTGCCAATAGGTAGCAGCAAATTAGAGAAAAGGGAGACAGGATTCAAGACGCATACACTACCACAATAAGTGGCATTAAAGTGTGAGAACAGACAGTCCAATTAAAAGGAAGTCCTCCTACATAAGATGTCCTTGACTCATGAACTAAAGTTTAAATTACATTTGCTACCTTGTAATAAGCACAGGAAATATTTTTTTACCTAACATTTCAGGATTAAAGAGAAAGTTTTAGATTACAGGGATTATTAACATGCTCAGGTTTGGAAGGGTTCTCAATAGTGTTAACTATCCCACTCTAACCACCCATCCACTGTTTGTATATGCTCTATAACTTCTCTCCTATATGGCCACATGGTCAACGGACAATGTGTGACAAAGGAGTTCATCCTGGGGCAACCCATTTCAACTCTGACAGCACTGGTTGATAAGAAATTCTTCTGTTTTTTTCTAAGACTTCTACTCATTCATCCTAGTTCTATTCCCCTGGGGCCACACCATGAAAGTAAAATAGCCCTTCCACAAGATGGCAATTCAGATACTGGGAGGCAGTGATCATGCCCCTGTCAATACTCTCGTCCACTGACTACAGTCTCAGTTCTGTCAACTCTTTCATTATGACTTAGTTTCAAGTCCTTTTATCATTCAGGGCAAGCTCTTCTGAACTTGTTCTAGCTAGTCAATGTCCTTTCATTTATAGTCTCGTAACTGACTGGCCATCATGAGTGTGGTCTAACCAAGTGGAACAGTGTGAAGCAGGCCTAGCACCTGTTTTGTACTGACACTGGATTACCTGCCTCTCAGACTCACAGGAAACACAATTCCAAGAGAGAACTTCCAAAAAAAATTTTTTTTTTTTTTTTTTTGAGACAGAGTCTCGCTTTGTTGCCTGGGCTAGAGTGAGTGCCGTGGCGTCAGCCTAGTTCACAGCAACCTCAAACTCCTGGGCTCAAGCAATCCTTCTGCCTCAGCCTCCCGAGTAGCTGGCACTACAGGCATGCGCTACCATGTCCGGCTAATTTTTTCTCTCTATATATATTTTTAGTTGTCCAGATCATTTCTTTTTATTTTTTAGTAGAGACGGGTTCTTGCTCTTGCTCAGGCTGGTCTCAAAATCCTGACCTTGAGCGATCCACCCGCCTCGGCCTCCCAGAGTGCTAGGATTACAGGCGTGAGCCACCACGCCCAGCCCCCAAAAATGTTTTAAGTGATGCAATTCAGATGGGACAAGGGTACAGCTACTCAAAGGATTTCTTTGAAGGGATAATATTGCTTTGTAAATATGAGCTATGATATGTTTGTTTAAAAAAAAAAAGTCTTATTCCTGTATAATCACTTTGAACTAGAGTACCGAATTCAACGTTAGTAGGATATTTGGGTGCTGCCCTGGAGGTGCTTACAGTCTAGTTTCTGTTCTCTGCACACTTAAAGATAAAATAACTCTCTTTGAAGCAATGTTGTTCTTAAGCTTATTCCTGTGAAGAAGCCAAACTCTCTAACAACCAAAAAGTTCTATGCATCTGACAACCTTTGTGCTAGTTATTTTTCAGTTTAAATGTTGGTGGAGAGAGAAAAGAACACAATGTGTTAAAATGGTACATCTACAAAGCACACACTGCTCACTATGGACTTCACCACCTCGAAAAAGGGGCCGTCACCCTGCTACAGGAGAATGGTGACAACTCACAGGGTAAGTGCCAATACTGTACTCTGCAATAAGGCTAACTTCCCCCTGCCAAACTTTTAATTTTGAAATATTTCAAACCTGAGAAAAGTTGAAAGAATAATACAACCAATACTCATTGCTGTAATCTAGACTCACCAGTTGTTAACATTTTATCAAATCTGCTTTTCTGTCTCTGTATATAAATACATATTTTGCTGAACTATTTGAAACATCATGATATTTCATCACTAAATACTTAAGCATGCACCTAAGAACAATGACATTCTCCTACCTTACCACAGTACCATTTCTACTTCTAAGCAACTTTTTCAATGATTCCATAACTTCACTTAATACACAAGTCTGTGTCAAAATCTCAACTTTTCCAAAAATGTCTTTTATAAAGCTTTCCTCTCAATACAGAATCCAATTAAGGCTTCCATACTGCATTTGGCTATTATTTTTAGCCTCCTTTAATCTAAAACAGCCCCCTGCCCGTTTTAGTTTCCATTGCATTGACTTTTTTGAAAATCCAGTCATCTTGCAGAATGTCCCACATTCTGGATTTGTCTGTTTCCTCATGATTAAATTCAGTTTAAACACTAGCAAGAATACTTCACAGGCGAGATTACATCAGGAGGCACAGATTGTGCCTCTATTGGTGATGCTAAATTTGATCAAGTTTGGATAAGATGGTGACCACCAGATTGTTTCACTATAATGTTAAATTTTTGCCTTTGTAGGGTGATACCCTGAGACCATGTAAATAGCCAGTTCCTCCCCAGCCTTTCATTCACAGTCAGTTGTCTGAATCAATAATGACACTGGGAGTGACAAATGATAATTTTCTAATTCTATTATGTATTCCTCATTTATTGGCTATCATTCTTCTGTAAGAGACTCCTTGCTCATTTTTTTGATTATCACTATGGAGTCAAGGAACACTAATGTTTTTAAAATAAATGCAATTAAATTAACCTATCATCTGTATTGAGTTTATATGTGTATCTTATACATATATGAAAAAATATATAAAATGCACCGACATATACATAAAATATACCCACAAACACATGTGTGATTATATAATACCTCAAGGAGGGTACACAAGAAAACTTAACAGTGGTTGCCTCAGGGGAGGAGGACTAGGGGACAAAGGTGGGAAGGAGACTTATTTTTTACTGTACTCTTTTTTTGTACATTTAACTATTATATCATTAGTTAACTTATTATCTATGCAATATGTTAATTAGTATATATAACAAATATTATCTCAACAAATATTTGTATAATAGAAACATATTTCAAAAATCCAGTGACACCCCAATTATTCCAATAAAACTCCAACAAAAGAAATCTGGACAATGCTATGAGTTTGAGGTTTGGGGATAAGACTGTATCAGCAGGGAGGCAGGCCTAAGAAGGAGCAAACTATTCTCTCTCAAAGAACAAACACCTGGTAAGCATGCTGAGCCAACGCTTACTTGGTCAAGATCAGAGTTATCCTTGCAGAAGTGAAGAGAGGAGAGGAGAAAGAAGCTCAACAGTTTATGTAATTAGCAAACAGTACCCATTCTAATTCCTGACTCTTGATTCTGTCAGGCTCAGGACCACTGACACTGCTGAAGAGAAAGGAGGTGTCACAGGTGGGAGGGCCAGCCTGGGGGAAATAGGCTCTTTCTTCCCATTCCTCTGAGATTCTAGGCCTTCTGGGTGAGAAGATGACAGCACAAGGGCCTCTAAACGTAAGCACTACTTTTCAAAATATAGATGGTGGGGCTGAAATGTACACACTTACCTTCTGAATGCTTTCATCCACAAGTCCACCAAGGATGTAAACTTTGTTTAGATCAACATCTTCAAGAGCTAATGAAAAAATGAAGGACATTGACATCAAGTCTGTTTATAATTTCTAAATCCAAAGAAAGCAAAAGGGAAGAATTATTAATAAAAGTAGAAATTTAATGAACAGAAAACAAAAAGATAGATTTGCTCAATAAAACCAAAAGGTAACTCTCTGAAAGAACCAAAAAAATAAGCGGTTGACATATCTAATCAACAAAAGACCCAAATCAACATTAGATTCAGAAAGAAAACAAAATTAAAACTAGAGACGGATGTGAAATAATTAGAAGAAAATATTATGATCAACTTAATACCAATAAATTTGAAAACTATGTGAAATAGATTACTTTCTAGGTACAAATATGTATCTAACATTGACCCAAGAAGGGCCAATGAGGGCAGCTGACCAGGGAAACTGGGAAGGATCATCAGGCAGCACACAAGGTCCAGATGAGGATGGAAATCCTAAATCTATGCAGCATCCAGTGAGGCACCTGCCCATAGGAGGGGTGCAATTCATGTTCATTCCATTTTGGGGGGGGAATACGGTGGGAGTGGGATACTCCTTGAGTGGCTTTAATAAATTCTGCCACGGGGGATGATGAAACAAAGAGCTAGGAACGATGTGCTACATGAATCCATGCAAGGACTACATACCATGTTCTGAGTCAGGAGTTAGGTACACAAGGGTTTCCAGAGGAAATAAACTAAAGCAGTCTTCTTCTGTTATGTCTAGCTGGAAAATGCAAAGAATTCAATGTATTGGGAACTAAGTTAAAACACAGCCCACAATTCAATAACTAGTTACTGGGCTTCTAGTTTCTATCGGACATGGCTCTAGGAATATCAAGGGGCTGCATGTCTGAGCTTCTTCTCAGAAAGTATTCAGTCAGGAGGGAAAGTAGAAAGACACAGACATTCAAACCTACAAAATGAGAGAGAAAGTGATATGGGGTTCTAGTAGAGGAACAGGCGGCATGCCCCAGGACTACAGATGAGGGAGTAACACCACCAGGGATGGTCTTCTGGTGAAGGGACTTGTGTAGCTGGGTTTCTGAAAAGAGGTGAGAGTGACACATACACAAAAGGGAAGAATTCAAAGTGGAGGGAATCACCTAAGAAAGGCATAAAGACAGGAAAACAAGGGAACTACGTGGCCTGCCCAGTAAGAGGGTCTGTTTGGCTTCCATACACGGATCGTGAAAAAAAAAAAAAAGTATAGAGAAGTAAAGCTGGAAATGGATGCACTATAGGAAAGACTGTTAAGACAGTAAGAACAACATAGCTAGCCGTGCAGCACCACACAGCACACCCTTCACATTCATGTTCATGACCCCCGTGGATCTCCCCAGGGAAGCCCACAGCTGCTCAATCTCAGCTACACAGACATTTTTAATGACATTCTTAGAAACTGATCTAGATTCTTACATGTATATCTATCACTACACTTACGAGATCCTAAAGAAAGAGTTGAAAAGCGCCTCAGTACTCCCTAAAACTCATCTTAAATCCACATTACTTCTACAGGGATTCTTTCTCTTCCCCCAAAACTCTTGTTTCCTAATTCACCACTACTGAGAATAAGAAAGGAGTCATGGCATTTCCCAAAAACATCCCTGGATCATAAAGTCTAGCACAAAATACGGTCCTAGATACTGAGAATACTAGTTTGTAAATGCAACAGGAGGATGAGCTAAATTTTAAATGAACTGAGAGGTACTGAAATTTTTTTAGACTGCAATAGTGAAAACATATAATTTATATATATCTTACATCAAAAGACGAAAAAGTAAAAGAAATTTACTATTACCCCACAACTACTTTCCAGATGACAATTCAAATAATATGCAAAAAGAGACTTACCAGGTAACTAGAAAATCCATCATTCATCCTCAAACATTCTTCGTACAGGGGACTGTCTGTTGTGAATCCAGTGAGACAGATCCAAAATGGCCTGTCAGCTTTTTTGTTAGAACCATACAACCTTCGGATCTGTCCAGCCAGTCTACTTAATTCCTTCAAAGAAATAAGGACAACTCAGGTGGAAACATCCCAACTCACTCTAAATTCATTATCAACAAATGGTTAGGCAATAAGTTAGTTCACTGACTGCTACTACAGAAAATCTCATGAACTAGAAGTACATGTGTGTATGAGGGTGTGTTACACTCTAAAGCATCACACCTTATAGACAAAAGTCAAGAAAATGATACCAGGCCAGAAATAGTGGAAAAACTGGGAATTCTACCTCCTGCTGGCCCTACTATATGAAATTGTCATTTTATCTTGTATCTAAAATCTTACGTGATATTTACTATTTAAGTTACGAAAGAGGTTACGTTACTATACAGAAATTTTTATAATCCATCAGATGAATTTGGTACCTTCTTCCTAACTCCAGGAGATGAATTAGGGTTGGAAGTTTTACTAATAACTTTTCATCCTAATTTGGAGACAACACTCTTATATAAAGGTAGTTTCACAATTTAGCCTGATTTGTTTGGTAGAGAGAAAAAGGCTTTGAGTTAAATTTAATCTGATACCTAAACTAATATAAACAGAGAATTTGGGGTTGACCTTTTGAGAGGTTCCATGTAAGAACCTCAGATCTATAGTTTTCCTCTGTCTCTGAAAAACACGTAAACACTAGCACATAGAACAGAGATGTCTGAAAACAGAGAGATTTGTTTAAAATTTACATACTGTGATGTAAGAGCTAAAATTGAGGCCCAATATTATGTGCCACCTTGACTTCTGGTGAAACTGGGAGGACCTCAAATAGCCTAATTGCAGGTTCCCCTCCCAACTCTGCTCCCGTAGATAAAATCTTCTAGCTAAGAAACCCTTTGTATCAAGGGTCCAAGGCATAGCTCCTGTTTATCCCTGAATAGTGGGTTTTGGTTCCCTGCCAGCCCATGGAATTATCCAAATAGGCCAATCACATCCTCCTGTGGGAACCAGGGAGCACTTCACCCTCTTGATACTACAAAGCCCACCTCCCACAGCGCCTGGTTGTTCATTCTGTTCTCAGTTACAACGCCCAGGTGGCCTTGTGTGGTGGGCAGTATCCTCCTCCCGTGGGCTGTGAGTATATGAGACCAATAAACTGCTGTCAGGGTCATCTGTCCAGTGTCAGATGTCATACATTCAGCCATTCCCAGAACCCTATGGTGGGAATTCCCCCCTCACCAATGGAGTGAATGAGAAACAATTAAAACACATACTCTGCAAGAAGACCTTCCACCAGGTAACCTCCCCACAACATGCTACTAGGCAAATATTCCTCTTCCCAGCAGAAGGCCAAAAATTTAGTTTCTAGAGAATTGAACCTGAAAGGTTCCATCCAGACCGGGGACACCATGAACAGAGAGGCAAAGGTGCTGGACTCAAAACAGAAGACAAGGTAAAAATTTGCAAACTAAACCAAAGGATGTATATTTTCTTCCAGATTCTTTACAATAGCCATCTTGGAACTTAGTAGCCCAGTGTAGAAAATCAAACACTTTTGCTGGTTTACTAAAGAATCACAGAAGCTGGAGCTGGTCATATTCTTCGTAAGAGCTGCACCCTTCTGGGCCTCCCTCATGCGAGCAGGAATTCCAGGCTTAGTGGATGTTCTACCTTCTTTGACATGTGGTGGGTCATACTCAAATCAATACATAGTCTTGGTCCTGAGTGTTTGGCTTCCAAAAGTTTCTCTTTGGTTAAAGCTCTCAGAAAACGTTTGCTGTGCTGAGGGCAGATGCCTAGGGCAGAAATACCAGAAAGAAATAAAAGTGGAAAACCAGAGAAATAATATTCTATAAGAAACGAATCTCTCTAGCCAAGTGAGTACTTTTTGTACATAAAGAGAAACTTGAATATTTGCAAAGTATTCATTCATTAGGGGATTTTTGTACTGCAGAGTGGTAAAGAGTGTGCGCCCTGGAGCACACAGCTGGGTTTAAATCCAAGTTCAGTTTGATCATCCATTTTGAGCAAGTTACTTGATTTCTCTGAGCCTCAATCTTTTCACCAAAAAATGGGAATAGTAGTAGTACCTCCCCTTGGGGTAATCCACGTAAAATTTTCAGAACTGAACCTAGCACATAGCACTGAATAAATGTTAGCTGTTGCGGGTTTCATTCCTTCTACTCTGAGCTTATAAACACACATGCTCATTAGCTTATATTTGAAAAGCACCCTTAAATTTTGCTTTCTTTGATACATTTGATTACCAAGAAAATAGGACAGTGGGTCCTACCTCTCATATGTTTGTTTTTTACTTAAATAAAATTCCTACTCTCCTAGGAACATGCAGACACCAGTTTGCTAAAAATGGTTATCCAGGCAATCTCATTTACTGTTACCTGGATTTTCTGCACGATTGGCTTTTCTTCTTTCTTTTTCTTGCTTTCTTTTGCTCTTCTTTGCTGCAATTATCTTTTCCCAGTGTCTCTGTTTTCTCCGGACATTTTTCTTATGTTATCCAGAAAACAAAATTGTTTGAGAACTTCATAAGCACCAAAAAGGAAAATGAATATTAGGAACAGTTACTTATTTTTTCATTTACATATAAAGTTAGGAGAGAAAAAGGATATTAGTCTTAAAAGCAAACCTAGACAGGATTGTGTTTAGAGAAAACGGAACCCAAGAAAAAAGAGATGTGACCTGCTCAGGTCACGCAGTAAATTCATTAGGGACAGGCCCTAAAATAGAGTTTAGATTTCTGGACCCTTCTGAGGTATATCAAAAATTCCTTTTGAACTTTACTTTTCCTATGATTCAAATGGAACTAAAACTTTAAACCAGTTACCACAAAATTAATTATCACTTAAAATACACAAAACTCAATCCCAGTCTCTCTTTTTATTATCACTATCTACCCTTAGAACAGGGGTCTCTGGGACATTCTATCACTGAAGGGCCATGGCCAGGCAACTCGCTGTACTCACCGAGCACCATGCTGCACTGCCTGTGGGGAGGGTCTCTCCCTCCTGGCACTCGCATTCCACATCAATCTGCAGAAGCTGGAAGCTTTCAGAGATTCCATGTGCACCTGTGTCCTCTAAGATGCCTTCGTGCCCCTGCAGCACAGGTGACTCTGTTTTCTGAGTACTCCCTTCCAATTTCCAGTCCATGTGCTTAGTCCTGTCCTTTCAACCAGATTGGAAAAAAGCACAATTATGTGAGCTGTTACGTTATTTCACTTACATAGGTATTTCCCTATGTCCAAATGAGAAATAGTATTATTGTGTTACTGAAGGATCAGAAATATGTAAAATATTGACCCAGATTTATTGAACTGAGAAAAAGCATGTGTCTTCCAGAGAAATGATTCAGCATAGAAACAGTTCAGTAGTAAAGAAGCCAAATACACTTCTTAGAGGACAAGCACAACTTCTGACATCTCTAAGCAATCAATGATCATCCGTTGCTACGGTGACACAGATAACCAAGTTACTGTGTACTTTGAAATGTATGCTTTCAAAGTGGGACAGAGATGGCGAAAGCCACCTCACCTCCCCTATTGTTTCAAACAGACTCCTTCAGCAAATATTTGTTGAGCACCTACAATATGCTAGGTACTGAACTAGAAACATCCTGAGAGGATGAAGAGCTAACCAAAAAATATGGTATAGTGGCATGAAACCAACCAAGAATTCTTCCAGGTTGTTAGCGACTTATCAGAATTAGTTTTTCAAATATGTATTCCCTCCCCAGAATCAGTTGAGTATCACTGCAGCAGAAAGCCAGTCACCAGTGAGAATGTTTAATATCCCTCAGAAGTGCTGACGCTGAGAAATACGGACACCGTTACAGCACACTTAACGAATGATGATCAAGAGTGATGTGACGGCCGGGCGCGGTGGCTCACGCCTGTAATCCTAGCACTCTGGGAGGCCGAGGCGGGCGGATTGTTTGAGCTCAGGAGTTCGAGACCAGCCTGAGCTAGAGCAAAAATAGAAAGAAATTAATCAGACAACTAAAAATATATATAGAAAAAATTAGCCGGGCATGGTGGCACATGCCTGTAGTCCCAGCTACTCGGGAAGCTGAGGCAGGAGGATCGCTTAAGCCCAGGAGTTTGAGGTTGCTGCGAGCTAGGCTGACGCCACGGCACTCTAGCCCGGGCAACAGAATGAGACTCTGTCTCAAAAAAAAAAAAAAAAAAAAGAGGGATGTGACCATTGCCTATGGCTGGTCCTCCGAGTCCATCACACTACCACTATTTTAGGAAAAAAACATATATTTAAAAATGTAAATCTATGTAATATGATTCATGTATATGGTAAGAATACCTGTTTACAATGAAAAGTAATGATCCTCACTCCTACCCCTTCCACCTCTAGTGGCAACCCTTGTTAAACAATTGTTTTTCATTCTCCTGGTAATTAACTCCTTATCCTGAAATCATAAGCTTACACCATTACTTCTTGATTCAGCAGCTTTGACTCCCTATGAAGCATGAGAATTCAAATCACTTAAATCAACTCCCTATTATTTTAAATTCCTTCTTAGTTACCCTGATCTTTAAATTTTTTTGCAGGTAGAGCTGGACAAGTATGTGTTGGGGGGTGGGGGGGTAAAATACACAAGCTCAATGAGCTTTGATAAATGCACAGGGCCTGTGTTACTTACAACCCTGTCTAGACACAAAACATTTCCATCAGCCGAGAAAGTTTCACTTCCTTCTCCATTTTCCAAATCAATCTCCATCCCTTTGCCACTACTTGCCAAAAGCAACCCTGTTCTGTTTCCTATACCATAGATTAGCTGTACCTATTATAAAACTTCATATAAATAGATTCAAATAGTATGTACTCTTTAGAACTTGAGTTTTTCCCCTCAAAATAATGTTTTTGAGATTTATACATTTCTGCATGTATTAGCATTTTGTTCCTGTTTATTTCTGAGTAGTATTCCATTTAATGAATACACCACAATTTATTTATTCTCCTGTTGATGGGCATTTGAGATTTTCCAGTTTGGGGATATTATGAATAAAGCTGCTATGAACATTCTCATAGAAATGTTCTTGTGGACATATGTTTTCACGTCTATTGGCTAAGTTCTTAAGAGTAGAATTGCTGGGCCACAGGATAGGTGTATATTTAACTCATAAGAAACTGCTATTGGTTTGCTGGAGTATTGTACTGTTTTACACTGCCTGTCAGCAATGTATGAGAGTTCCAGATGCTCCACATCATGACCAACTTTGGGGACCCCTATGCAGACTTCTGGAGCACCTTTGCTACACAGCTCCCATGTTGCCAGTACCCTGATCCACAAATTCCAGCCATCTCAGCAGCCAGCCCTAAATTAAAATCTGTTCCCTCCACCCAGTGACACTGTTACACTATGTAAGGGCTCCATATCACTATGCAGTGTTTTCAAAAGTATCCTCAGGCCAAAAGCCAGGTTGAATGTGGAAATTAGCTTGGGTGTTTCTTTTCTCTCAAGGATTACAGGCTTGCCCTGCCTATTGTCCAATGCCTGAAAACAATTTCTTTGTATATTAATATTTTATCCATTTTTATAGTTTATTGTAGGAAGGTACATCCAATACCCATTCCTTCTGTCATGACAATTACCAGAAGTAATCTCTATTTCTTTTAAGAATATTTTAAATTTCATTTAACGACCTTTTATAGTATTTTTGGCTTTTCAATATGCTAGACTGTGAACATACACACCTTTATCTTTCTCTCTTCCCCCTTTAATTTTCCAGCTTTGGTAAGCTGAGCTTTTAATTTTACATGGTCAAGGCAGGCTTTACATTTTGTTCTGTCATCACAATGAACTCTTCTGTGCTATGTCTATCCTCTTGGTTTCTAAAATTTATAAACTAATAAACTGTATTTATATTATTGTAACTCCATAAATATCACTCACTGTAGAGATGGCTAGTGTCCTAGAATTATATTTTCTTCTCCAGAGTTTTGACTCTTGTGCTTAGAAAATACTTCTAGCATTGAATTCATATTGCTTTTTTTTCTTGTACTCCATCAAATGCTCAAAATTGGGACAAATTTTAGTTTTCAGCTTAGACATACTTAAATAGACTGTTTAAGTTGAAAAACAGCAATCTTAAATTAACTCATAATTTAGCCACACTTCCAGCTTGCCACTTGTGAGTGGTGGAACAACAGCCAGGACATTTAACTCTTTGCCATAGATTCCATGAGATAGGATAAAACTACCTCACAGGATTGCTGCAAGGACTAGACGCATTTCACTGACCTGATACAGAACAAGTACTAAAAAAATACCGGCTGTTGTTACTACTATTCGAAACCCCTCCAGTGTTGTTCATACAGTTTTTCCAAAAAGGTAAGCCTTCTGAGCAGTTTTGGCTATTCATCGCACATTCTGTGAACATGTGACCACCAGATATATTCCTGAAGATGATCAAGGAAATTACCTTTTAGATCTTCAAAATTATAGATTTGAAATTTGTGTTCCTTTGCCTGCCTAGCTAAAATTTATTTCTGCTTAGAAATCTGTTAATACCCAGTAAAAACCACTTTTTAATGCACTTATTTATGTGTTGACTATATCACAAAGTTAATGGCGTATACAAAATTCAATAGTGTAAATGATATTTCCAGAGAAATGAGGAAAATACCAAGCTATTCTTAAACATTTCAGAAGCACTGTACTGTTCATGAATAAACAGTGAAGTTGATTATTAATCTTTGTTAACAAAAGACAACCAGACCCCTGTTAGGACAATTCCTTTAGATGACTGAACTTTGTTATACAAGCCATCAGCGTCATCTGCATTTTTCTGCATTTAGACATTCAAAAAAGAACAAAACAAAACTTTAAGATAACCTGGTTCAGGCCAGGCGCGGTG